TTCGTGCCAATAGAAGGCATCCTTGCATTTTTTTTTTTTTTTTTTTTAAGTACCTTTGTAGCCTCGTTTTTTTTCTCTCTATTTTTTTTGGCTTGTTTTTTTTTTTTTTTTTTTTTTTTTTTTTTTTTTTTCCCTTTTCAGTTTTTTTATACTCTATGCTTTGCGCACGCCAGGCACTGTCATTTTGCCTTGCACTTCGCGGACGGGGCTGTCGAGAAGGAAAAGGCCCTAGCGCAGCATACGAGAGGAACCCGTCGCTCCTGTATTTTTTGGCATTGTCGTGCGGTGCCGCCGTTGTGTGATTTTTTTTTTATATTTTACATTTCACTTTATATATATTTTTTCTCTCTCTCGCTGGAACAGAGTAATTATCGCGAGGTGGGAGCTTAACAGTCGCTTTTGTAATATCATGGGGAGAGCATACCACATGGTCGTCCAGCGCATGTTGCATGTATTAACGCCAGTGTGCCTGTTCTGTGTCGTTTGTGGCGTTAATCAGTTTAGGGCAAAAATTACGCCACTTAAATTAATCCCTATAAAGCTCTGGCGGATTATCCGAATGTTTCTCCCCTAGAGTAAGCACCAGAACGTGCGCACTGAAAAGTATTTTCCTTTTTTTACCTTTGCAAAAAACAATACATGGTGAATTTATCGCAGAGGGTGTATTGACTTGTCCGCCTAGCAGTCCCAACACCGAGCCCTATAGCGAACGCCGCTGTGTACAAAATGGACATTTATAAAAACAGCCTCTCTGCAGTATCGTAGAGTGATGGAGTGATGGAGGGGTGAAAAAAATAAAACAAAAATACAAGGAAACATTTCCACATAAAACCGCTTTAGTGATATACGTATATGTTGATATGGCGAAGAAACCCGTAACGATACTAAGCACCTGTTGCGTACTTTCACCAAGTTTATTTTATTTTATTTTTTTTTTTCATAACATTATGTGTGTTGTTCGCTCTCCTACGCGGGAGCCATTTTTAACCGCATGCGTAACATGTTACGTTTCAACAAAAAGGGATACGTGTCAGGGACGGTGATGTCTTATCTGCAGAAATGGGAAGAAAAATCGTTTAATAAAAAAAAAAATTGCCACGTAAAAGGTCAGCAGAAAAGGGACGCACTTCACCAATTCAAATGTACCTTCTCGAGCATGTCCCTCGTACGCATGGGCGGAAGGGTTAAAAAAAAAAAAAAAATCCACTTGTTTGTTTGCACTGTATAGAGTACAACCCCAGTGAGCATGAAACTGCGTAGACAAAATAAAACAACAGGGGGTGCCGAACAGAGTTAATCTTTCGCAGCCGCATACGCTGCGTACTATCCAACTCTACTGCACCTTGGTGAGGAACGAATTCATCATGTGGACCTGGAAGGAGCGATCCAGCTTGCCCCGCAGATAGTCCACATACGACGTGTTAAAGGCGTAGGACACTTTGTAAGAGTGAAGGAGGCCACTTTCGTCTCCAATCAGGATGACTTCGTTAAATTGGTTCACGCAAAGTTTACAGAGCTTCTTCTTTCTCGTGATTACTTCCGTCATGATGGCTTTGTTTATGTCCACGCTTAGGTCGTAAATGTGGAGGTGCCCGTGGTTGTCCGAGCTGATGACGAGGAAGCATGTTGACACTATGGGGCTCCAGCGCACGTCGTACACGCACTGCAGAGAGGGGGAATTAATATGTTGATGAGAGAGGGGGAAAGGCGTACGTACTTGATCGGCCATGGGGTGACTGCTGGCGCGGTCTAAACGAAACAGTCTAAATCGCCGCCGTCCTGCTTTGCCCATCCTTACCTCCTTAATGTCAAGCACGAGGAGCGAGCGTGAGCGCGCCTGGTCCCATATGCGGATGGTCCAGTCGTAGGACGCCGAAATGAAGATGGCGCGCCTGAAGGGGTTGTAAGAAACGGCGTTGACCGACATACAGTGTTCATTGTACAGACGTAGGTGGTTGTCGGTGAAGGTACTCGAGTAGAGGTATATCTTCCCAGTAGATGTGCCCATGAGAAAGAGGTTTTTCTGGAATGGATTGAAATCGATGCACGTGATGGACTGTGTTTGTACAAAGTTCAGAGGATCCTTAAAATCATCCTCCCAGTCCTTTTTCTTCAAAGTCAGTAATTTGTCCCCTACGGTAAATTTATTATTGTACTTCCAACAAAACATATGTCCATCATAAGAAATGGAATAAAAGGATTTATTTTTCTTGTCAAATGAAATCTGTGAGATGATATCTCTGTTATATATTTGTTTTATATTACTTTCAAAGATTAATCGTTCATTTTTTTTTTTTTTTAAATCATATATGCATATATTTCCATTGGACAGGCCAATGATGATGACGGAGTGGTTGACTGCTGACCACTCAATGGAGTAAATGGGAAAATCTGTTTTCAACACATGTTCAGGACTTTTCGTATTTTTGAATGTAAAGCAACATAATATCCCTGTATTAATTTTTATATCATTATTTTTAAATGACATGGCAAATAAATCTTCATAAAAGGGATGAAATTTTATGTCCGTGACAATTAATTGATTGAAAAAAGGTACTGAGAAAATCCACAACTTGGTCAAAATATTTTTATTCATTTTATTTTTATAACTTAAATAAATTTCCTCTTCATTATTCTTGTTGTATATTCTGTCCATTAATTTTAAGGTTTTCAAAAAACATTTTTTCTGCAAAATTTTTTCATCACTTTTTTTTACATTGCCGTCTTTATAAATGAATTTTAACTCTTTATGTATTTTTTCCTTCATGTCTTTGTAGTTAATAAAATATAGTTCATGCTTCCCAGTGAATGATTCTTTTTTCTTTTTTTTTCTCGTTACACATTTGGTGGGACCCTGTCTTGTATTATGCTTTTCACCAATTTGTCCTCTCCCCTTGGGTACCCCTTTTATACCTGTCTTTCCTTTTTCAAAGGGGTCGTCTACCTTCTCGGCTCCTCCCATTGTGCTTGTCTGCGTGGTATCCTTCATATCTTCGTTCCCTTCTACTCCACCATTGGCGTCTTTGTTGTGACCTTTCTTCATTGTATCTCCTGCCTCTTGCTCCTCCCCCTCCATCTCTTCCACCTCAACGTCAACCGCCATCGCAACCCCCACATCGTCTTCCCCATTGTCTTCGCCTCCCCCATCAACATCCTCCTTCACTTCATTCTGTTCAACCAAATCTTCGTAACTCCCATGGTCATGCTCCTCCCCCTCTACATCGTCATCTCCTGTATCTTCCCCTCCAGAGCTATTCCAACTACCTTTGTCCACACTACCAGTGTCGTCTTCACTGACCGCATCAGACCCCTCATTACTCGAGCTACTTGATGAGAACAGAACCGTCGGAAATTTCGTATCATCAGAGAGATGCCCTGAACCTACATCAGATCCTGCGTCCAATTGGAGGTCTCCATTTGATTCGTACTTCTTCCCCCGTTCGTCTTCATTTTTTGCGTTTTCATTGTATCTATCCTTTTCCTGTGTCGTGAGGGAGGGGGGGGGGAGCGAATAAGTACCAATTTGAAGTAGCTGCGTTGTGCAACAGGGTAGGTGTGTTATCTGCGAAGTGAATTTTATTCTCCTGCGAGTTCATCCTGCTCTTTCATACCTTGTCTTCCTCGTTGGAAACTTTTTGAAACTCGTGCAGGTACGCGTCGTAGATTATCGATTGGCAAACTGGGGGAGGGGCAGCAGGCAGTTGGCGAAATGTCTGAAGCCGCTCGAGGTAGCACGCAGATTAGGTCCCCACAGAGCGGGCGTTATGTTACGAGCGCGCAATATATAGACGTGGACGCAGAAACAAACATGCACGTGTGTCCAGTGCATCCCCGTGCGCAACGAACCCGTGTCGCAGATTTCGTTAATTTCCTGCGGCTCCGTCTTTGTCGCTTCGTCCCTAGGGGGAAATAAGTGCGGGTGAATCGTTAGCACCTTGGCGGTTATTAGCGGTGGCCCAGCCTCTCATGCGTCGTCACTGCCACAGGCTGAGCCATCTGAAGGAAGCCTACTTGAAGGAGACAGGGACCGTCTGCGCGTATCTGTCGATGTAGTCAAAGCAGTTTGTTGGCTTATGGTAGACATAATCTGGGGGTGGAGTTTGCACAGGGGATCGGGTTTGTTTCGGTGCTGGTAGATACACCTTACGGGGGAACAAAACACTCTAGCAACACACGAACACAAAAACGGGAACCCTTACCGTTGTCTTTCAAAACTGTGAAGGAATTAGCCTTTTCTATTTTCTGCTTCACCAACTCAATCTGTTTCTTGCCCTCGTCGCTGTCCCGCCTCACCAGACATCTGAGTTGGCGCAAAAAAGGAAAAAAAAAAAAAAAAAAAACAAAAAAATACAATTTTGTCAATCCATTCATTCCGATGTGCACTCACAATGAGTACACCCCTAAAGCGGTTCATCATTTTTTTTTTTTTTTATTTTCTTTCCTGACGATTTCATATCCAGGTGGAAGACGGTGTGGTCCACTTGATCCACGGACGTGAACTCCTCATTCGCAAAAGAAAACTCCACCAGGTTGGCGAATGCTCTTGGGTTTTTTGGAAACAGAAATCGAGTCAAGGTTTCATTTTTCTGAAATTGGGGGAGGGGTAGAAATAGGCATGTGGTTCACAGGGTCCTTCAAGTGGCTCACCATATGGTGTTGTGGACACATCGCCTGATACTTCTCCACAGAGTACACACGTGTGGGTGCATATGAACACATTTACGCATGGTAAAAACATACACCATTTTGAATGGACGATTTCCTTTTTTCATTTTCCAGCCCATCACCCTCTGCCCCTTTGGCCTCCCCCAATACTGCCTGCAACTTTTTCTTCTTTTTTTTCTCCACTATGTTTGCCTTCATTTTGCTTTCGGATTGAAAAGGCTGGACCGGGTCTGCCGTTTAAACGGACGCGAAATGCCCTCTCTACGAAAGGGTCACTTTGTTAAGGAAAAAACCACCAATCACGTTTTACATTAATCGTCGAGAAGAGTGAAGTTTTCTTTACTTTTTTTTTTTTTCTATATTTCCCCTTTTATGAGGAGTGTGGAGATTTTGCTCCCTGTGATGTGCACAGATGGAGTGGCCTTTCTCTCTGTGAGACCTTTACATAGAAGCACGGCGTTCCTTCTTTTCCACCGCGTCGCGTCATAAGTATTGCTATTCTTAGCAGAGTCGCTGTGCTTTAAATGGGCCCTCTTTTCACATAAGCGGCATTTCTCCTTTTGGGCAGGAAAAAAAAAAAAAAAAAAAAAAAAAGAACATTGTCTTTTTTGTGCACTTGTGGCAAATTCGCGTAATCGTGGGAAAGCCCTTTCCTTTTTTTTAACAAATACGAAGTATCGCATAGTTTAGGGTTGGGAAAAATTGCTGCGATGTGCACGTCAGTAGGAACACACGCCAAGGGGTGCATATCCATGCATCTGTACAAACGCATAAGAAATGAGGAGTCTTACAAAAAGGCACAAACTCGGGGTGGGTAAACTGTGCAGGGAATATATGGTGTAGAACCTTTGGGCACAATGCAGAAGAAAAAAGGATAAAAAGAGGTTTAAAAAAAAAAAAAAAAAAATATATCAAAGATAAACTTTGAAGTGGGTGAAAACTACAGGAAGGAACACCTAACTGTAGGAAACACAGCGGTTTAATATGAAGGGGCACTTTATTATGTTATACACGTATGGATACCCCTTTCCTCCATTGAAGGGAGCAGTATCCACTTCGTTCTCCCCTGTTTGCCTCCCTACGCTCAACGTCACACACATACAGAGCGGTAACCCCTGCACACACGTACGTGCTTGTATGCGTACACGTAGGAGTGTTACGAGGGGGGTGGGCTTCTCTTCCACTTTGGAGGAAAACCAAATCAGGTGAGAAAAAAGCTAGCCAACTAATTACAAAGAATCATCGTGTCGTCAAATTTTTTTTTATTTTTATATTTCTCCATGACCTTGTCTGAATTCCTCATAATTCGTTCATACTCTTTTTTTATGTCCACAATGTCAAAAATGTTGAAGTGGATTTTTTCTATTTCCTCGATTGGAGGGAATTGATTTTCTTCCTCCTCTTGTTTCTTTTTTTCCGCTTTGTCTTTCTTATTTTTTTTTTGTGGTTGATTTTTTTTTTTCTCTTTCTCCGTTTTGGTCGATTTTTTTGCTTGCAGAAGATCGGGGAACAGTTCGACCTTTTCGTTTTTCACTTCTTTTACCACTTTGGCCATGGCTGCTTCCTTCTGTTTGAGCACCGAGGGCACGAATTTTTTTTTGGGGGGTTCAACTTTGGGGTCCTTCTTGGCCTCTTCCTTCTTAACAGTGTCCTTTTTAGCTTCCTCCTTAATCGTTTCTTCCTTCTTGGCTTCCTCCTTTTTGTCTTCATCCTTCGTTTCCTCTTTATTCGTCTCTTCCTTCTTCGTTTCTTCTTTACTCGTCTCTTCCTTTTTCGCCTCTTCATTCTTCTTTTCTACCTTTTTCTTCTCCGGTTTCTTCTTGGGCTCCTTGGCAGGCTTCTTCGCGCTGGTGTTGGCCGCACTCCATGCATTCACATTTTTCCTTTCATCCAAGAACTTCTTCGTTTTATATTCTTGCATGTTCATTATATTTATTTTGATGGCCCCGCTGCTTCCCCCTTCTGCGTTATTGTCTCCATTTTCATTTTCCTGTGCTGCAGCTTTTGTAGCCTTGGCGATACTCGTCGCCTTCAATAGGCTACTTAGGTTGAACATTTTGGTTATCTGGTGGGCGTGTTGAGCGGATTACGAAGAGGGTAGTGCGTGATCTCTTCTACGTGGCACTCTGCACGAGTCGACGCGGCAGCCTGCGGATGCTCAGAAGTTTCTACGTTGGCTGTTAAACGTTTGAATCACCGTTCACCACTTGTGCTTCAGGTTAAACTTTTCACAAGCGGATTTACTTGCCTTTGTTTTTTTTTTTCCTATGTATGGCAACTTCCTTTTGTTTTTATTGCTCCGTAGGGGGTATGTTCTTATTTTTGAAGCGGCAACTTCAACGCGGATTTCTGTCGCACTCGCCGTCACGAACTAGTACACGCGGCGTATGACGCGACTGTATGAGCTGCAACAACTGGCGCTTGAGAAGAAAGTTTGTACTTATGTGGATACACGGAAGATAAAGGGGAACCAGTGTATACACGCGTAATGTACATGGCATACGTTCTACTTCATGCGCCCTACGCAAAGGGGAAAGAAACTCCTAATTTGGCATGCAACATGTTTGGGTCTCCTTTTTTACATAATTATAATGGGAACAAAAAAAGGAGGTAAAATTAAATATTGGGATAAAAATATTGGCAAATATTTCTCGCAACGTTTAGTTGAACTCTGTTGCGCCTTACGCTTTTTTTTTTTTTTTTTTTTTTTTTTTTTTTTTTTTTTTGGGCTAGCTGCATAACCTGGGGCGTCAATTTTTTTCGTGCATTTTTTTTTTCGACATTATTTTAATATGAGTCTCACCACGTTGGAAATTCAAATAAGTGAAGAGCGTTTTTTATGAGCATTGCATAATTATGCCTATGGGTAATTTGTGGCCATAAAGTTGGGTTGGACCATTAATCTCTGGGTTACCAAACGAAACTGGTGTTGTTCCGTTAGCAAAATTGTATAACATTTTTACTGAGGCTGTAGGAAGCTTTAACCTGTTACGGTTTTTTAAGCGGATAGGCAAAAACAACGCGTCAACAGCGCGGCATATTCCTTTTTAAGAATCACTTTGAGTTCGCCGCTGTTGTTGGCACATGGACGAGTGGTTGCCAGTCCGACTTGGTAGCGTTGTTCCCCTGTATTAGATTCCCCATCGCCACAGAAATCATCAAAAGGGAAGAACACGCGAATGAAGCCGTGCCGTCGGATACCACATAAAAGTTTGCCCATTGTGCGAAACACGTGAGTTGTAGAAGAAGGCAAAGTGGATAGGCACCTTCGGGATACCCATATACCTAGGACGAGGCTGTCATCATACCATCACATGGTGTGAACACGCATCAATTTTTCCCGCACCTGGGAGGCATACGTATGTAGAAGCGCATTTGTGGAACCTGCACCTAGACACATACCCATTTATGCTTAGCCATTTTTGAGTAGCCCCCCCTTCTGTCCACCTCCCGGTTAAAAATGAATAAGAAGGAGAAGAAAAAGCTGCGTTACATGACCAAGGAGAAGCAGTACTCCATCGAAGAAATTGAAAAAATTGATGTAAAACGATACAACGAATTGTCTCGATTTTCCAAAAACAAAAATAAAAGAAATGCTCTCAAGGGAAAAGCATATGTGAAGAAATTAATTCTTCGTAAACAAAAAAAAGATGAAATAAAAAAAAAAAAATCTTTAAATATTCCTGTAGAGAAAAAAATCCCCAGGAGTATAGAACGGCTAGCCATCTTTGATGAAAATAAAATTAACGCGGAAAATGAAAAATTTTTATTGAATGAAAAATGTATAGACGAATTTAGTGATTATTTTAAACAGAGGAAGGAACCAAACATTGTTATAACGTCCATCAAAAGACCATCGAAAAACACTATTTTGTTTATGAAAGAATTGTCCTTAACATTTCCTCACATTTTTTATGAACCAAGACTGGATCATTCAATTGAATTCCTCATGAGCAATTCTGTGCAGAATAATTTTTCCACTTTTATCTTAATCGAAGAGGGAATAGATAAACATCCGAAGTATATGTTCATATCAACTTTACCAAACGGCCCCACGGCGAAATACTCCCTCACCAATGTTTTATATGCACACAAAAAGAAGACGGACATTGAAATAACGACGTTGCCACCGGAGGTCTACATCACCAACTTTAATACCTTCATTGGGGAACGCATAAAGCGGCAGCTCCACACCTTGGTGCCCTTCAACCCCTCGTACAAATCCCAGAAGGTCGTCGTTTTTTACAACCAGCGCGATTTTATCTTTTTCCGCCACTTTAAGTAAGATTTCGCAGCGACGCTGTCACTGAGTCAAGCGGTTTGACTAAGTCTGCCAAACTTAGCCAGCGTTTCCCCCGTTTGCCTTTGTGTGTTCACCCTCCACATTATGCTTCTTTCCCCCCTTTCCACCTGGACACACACCCACAGATACAACTTCGTCAACAAGAAGAAGTGCGCACTGAACGAAATTGGCCCGGCTTTCACCTTGCAGCTTCTTAGTCTTAAAGTAATTTTTCACGTGCCGCGCGCGTTTGTTTCCTCGTGCGTAGCTACATCGTTGCAAAATTGTAGCCTTTTTATTATGCTTTATTTTTGTGAACTGTTCATGTAGCTAATTCGTTCTGTTATTTATTTTATTTTTTTTTTTTTCTGAACCGTTCATATATATAGCTATTTTTTTTTTTTTTTTTTTTTGACCCACGTGTGCTGCACACACTCTGGCGCGTTGCTCTTCTTTCCCCATTGCCGCTTTCCATTTTTTGTGACCTACATGTTACACGTATCTTTACACCCTGCACCATTTTTCCCCCTTCACCTTTCTCGTATGACCTTAACAGGATGGGCTGATTAACGATAAGGAGAAAATGTACGAGTTTGTGCTGCGACCAGATATGAAGGTTAACAGGAAGAAGATGTACTTGTAAATGCGTCGCCTGCCTTGTGGTCACGTCCAACACCAGTGTGTTTGCCTCAAATCCAAGCCAGTCGCATTGATTTGCTAATCGTGGCGCTGTATAAGGGCCTTTCTCCCCTGCACTGCGCTACCCAGCGTTTTGCTCTTTTATTATTATTATTTTTTTTTTTGTTATTGTTCAATTAATGTCGTTTTAAATGCATACTTTTTTTTTTTCTTTTTTGGCTTCCAATTTTATAAATCCATGTGGCTCTCCCCACTTGCTGCATTCTTTTTACATGAAATGCGCACGCAAGTGGTACACATTTATACGTATGTAATGTACACAGTAACCACGTAATCGAACACATTTGGTTGAAAAAACGTATTTTGTAAAAAAATGTTTGGAAAAATCTTCCAAAGGGTGGGGGCTACGCAGAAGCAGCAGCAGTAGCGGCAGCAGCCATAATGTAAAGAGGATTACCCTTAACATAGGAGGGAGGGGGGCGGAATAAAAAAAAAAAAAAAGAACAAAAAATTAATAAATGGATTTGAGGAAACACCTCTCCTTCCTTTTCCTCCTAGTGTACCTAAAATGTTTCATATGCCACATTTGCTTTAGTCCCGGGGTGGAAAATACCAACAGGAGCTGCTACATACCAAGCGCATTTAAAAAGAGGCAGTACAAGCAAATGTCTAGTCAAACCTGTGGGAAGGGAAAAGATACAAAATTTCAACTAAGTCTGATTTTTAGAAAGCAAAAAGATCAATCCATGATAAGAAGCATTCCTAGCCATGTGCGAAAGAGAAAGAAGAAGAAAAAAAAAAAAAAAAGGCAGACGCTGATGGCGATGCTGATGCAAAGGGCCAAAAGGGGGGAAAAAAAAAAGTAAACAAAAAGTTAATGAGAAGGAGGCTACTCAAGTTTTACAAGTTGAAGAGGAAAAACGAGGGCACTGAGGAGGACGTTTTCTCCGACCAGGCTAAGTACTCTGTGTTCGACTATGTTGAGGATAAGATGAGCGGTGTTAGCAGGGTTGGCGCGGTTAGCAGCGACAGCCTTGGGGGTGACGCCAAGCAGGACGACGTCCCCTCCGCTGCACCCCCTGAGAGGAAGCAAAAAGATGAAAATGAAGGAGAAGGAGAAGTAGAAGGCGAAGTGCACACCTACATGGATGATATTCAAGGCGAGGACTCATCCGAACGGGCTGATCCCACTCACGGGCAGGATGGGCAGGATGTACAAGACGGGCAAATTTTCCAACAGGGCGAAGAGGCAGACGTCACCGCGGAGGGAAAAAAAAAAAAAAAATTGAAAAAGCTAAAAAAGAACATGCACATAGGGAAATATAATAGAAAAATTTTTACCTACAAAAAAAAGGTCTCCGTAGACGACGTGCACGAATATGTCCAGAACAAACAACTGGGAGAAAAATACATCCTCCAAAAAGACACACTAAAAAATGTTTTTGTGAATAAGCCTCTGTTCAATTTTTACAATTTTTATAATTTCTTTCAAATAGACCACGTCGAAAAGTACAATAAGGAAAAAGTCCTAAACTTAATTTATTATTATATTTATAAGTACAAAAACAAAAACAAAATGAAGAGCCAAACAGAATACGAGTGTGTAAAGACAGAAGATGTTCTACAGACTTACGAAAGAATTGCTGATGAAAAACAAAAAATGAAACACTACCTAGACTTCTACATCGACATGAATAATAACAGGTACCTGTATATGAACATTGACAAAAATTACGCCTTGAAGAAAAAGGTGACAGATGCCTTCACCGTGAGCAATATTAACAAGGTCGACTCGATGCACATACACAATTACAAGGTGGTGTGGACCATTCGAAACGTGCAGGAGGTAGGTGCAGCGTTTATACCCCCAGTCATGCTTTTCATTATGCCAATAGGGCTTGTCCCCCTCAAGGCACCCCACAAATTGATTAAAATTGACCGTGTGTACGCATCACTCTCTCTTCGTCTATGCCGCCACACGGATGCAATTACGCAAACTCACACAAAATGCTTCTCTCTGTCACCCCTTTCACTCCTTTTTTTTTCTTCTTCTTCTCTTTAGAAACTGTTTTGGAGATTCCGTGAAATGGGGAACATTCCCCTGACAACCTCTGCCTTTTCCTTCGCTGGAAAGAAATCGTTCAAGTTGAAGCTCTGGCTAGATGGTCACAAGTCCGCCAAAAAGGGGTAACTATCTCTTGGGGGCATTTTCTGCGTGGTGCTCCGGAAAGCTAATCACAGTTTTGTTTTATTACTATTCTGTTTCGATGATGTGTCTTGCCTTATATCATTTCATCCTGTGTGTAGCACTAACACGCATGCTTTTTCATTGGCTTGTGAATTACCCGTTCATGTGGCATTTTTCTCCACAGTTAAAGTGTGCATATATATAGCTACAGGTTACATTTTTTCTCCTTTTTTTTTTGCCTATTTCAGGTACGTAAGCGTTGGCCTGAAGCAGCTAGAAAACTACGGGCTGCTGGAGGAGTACATTTGTTTCTCCCTTGGCGGAATCACGAGGGGTCCATTCCAGTACATGTCGAAGGAATACTACCAGGGCTGTTACAACTTTTGTAAATTTGACGAGCTGGACGTAAAAGACGATGAGTTGCAATTCAGTTTATTTGTGTACGATGGCATTGTGTAGGTGTGGGGGTGGACAGGACTTCAATCGCTAGGACATTACACAGCATTAGCCTATCATGGATCGGCTTTTCCTCACTTGGACACCTCTTACATCGCCCCTCTTTTGCACGGCCAACGTTGGTAGCTGCAACGTTGGTGGATACAACCCTGTGTCAGTTTGTAATTTTTCTTTACCCATCTTTCGCGCCGGGGATTGCGTGGGTGTGCCTCCATCCCAAATCGTTCCATATCCCACGTGGTCATCTTCCCATTTTGTTCGCATTTATTTTTTTAATTTTTTTTTTTTTTTTTTTGTTAACACGCAAGGTGAGCACCCCTGTGCGTACTTGTTCCCCATGCAACACTTGCCATGCGCATCTTAATAAAACAATGTTTTAATTTTCCCCTACCATGTCTAGCTCTTCCCTTTTGTACTGCACGGGCCAGGATTAGTCTATTAGCTTTTTCCTTTTTTTTGGCTTCTTCTCCTCGAAGAGATCTGAGCTGCTGGAGGAACCTTCCACATATTGTGCATCCCCGTCGGAGATGCTTCCGTCCTCCCCAGTGTTATTCTGCTCCTCATTGTCAGTTTGCACTTTGGCTGCCCCCTCCTTGTCTGTTTCTTCATTCGCGTTGGCGCTTTCCTTATTAAAAGAAAACTCTTCGTCGTCCTCCTCTTCCCCTTCCCCTTCTTGTGGACCATCTCCCTTTTGTGGAAGTTCGAACTGTGAATGTGGTTCTCCCTCTGCATGCGTGGTGTCCTTTTCTTGTCCCCTGAGGGTGGTTATTGTCGTCCCACGTTCGGTCATGTGGTACGTCAGTTCGCTCACATCTCTGAGCAATTCCTCATGTAGAATTTCCTGACTCTTGAGTTTTTTCATTTCCAAATTTTTTTTCCTCTTTTTATCTTCGTAAATTTTTTTTTGCATATTTATTTTTTTTTGGTTATACATTTTTTTTTGTCTCAGCATGCTGGGCACGCTGCTTTCAATGTATGGCTTTATTTTCTCCTCGAATTTTATGTACGTGTTGATTAGGTACTTTCTGCTGGCCAAATGCTCGATGTCTTTTTTCCTTACTTCGATGATCAGATCGCCTTCTTTGTAGTAGTTGTTTTGTTCATCTGATGGGGCGTGAAAAAAAAAAAAAAAAATGGTGCGGTGATTTGGAGCACATGCACAGGTCGCCAGTCAGCTACTCGGCTACACCGCCAGTCAGCTTACCCGAAGCGAGGAGCTCCGCCGAGGTGGCCAGGCGCTTGAAGCGCAACAGGGTGTGGATGGCGCAGAAGGAGAAAGAGATCAAGTCTCCCATGAGCAAAATGTCATTCAACTCCACGTAATCGGAACTAAGATATTTCGAAACAAACGAATCAATGCAAATGATGAGGGTATTCAAAACAGAAAAGTCATGAGCCCATTTAACATACGCACTGTATAACAAAACAATAGCATCTTCAAATTTTTCAATTAGATGTAAAAAATTTGCATAGCAGAGAAAAAAGAGCTTGTCATTAATACCATTCTTTAAGCTTAAATTAAAAAACAAATTTAATTTTTTTAAAAATAATTTATTTTTCATCACTTGGTCTGTTCTCATCAGGTGGTTAAACATGTGTAGGACAAAATTTCGTAACGCCGACTGGCAATAGAATGTCTTCTTCTCATTTGAATCGATTAACAATTGGAACGCTTCACTTGACATTTCATATTTGTGGTTCACGCTGAGCAGTATGGATATAAGACTGGACACGAAAAAGTTGTTCCTCGTTCTCCCTAACAGACTTATTTGAGTGTATATTTCATTTATGAGGTGATTTTTTTCTTCTTTATTTTTTCCTCTCTTAAGCTTACAAAATTTTATAATGACCAAATATGTGTTAATCAGGACGTCGTCTTTCAAGTGTTCATTTTTTTTTAGCTTCTCCAATGTATATATACAATAATCGTAGTGCTTCCTACATGCATGTATGTATGCCTTTTGTAACAATAGGTTTACTGACGTTGGGTTACTCCGGAGTCCCTTTTCAATCACTTCCTTCGCTTTAGAAAATTTCTTCATTTGTATATACACATTTGCTAACCTAACGAAGGCGCCTTCGTACGTCTTATACACCTCAGTATATAATTTGTATGTTTGCATGGAGGAGTCTTTATAACCTAAGTACTCTTCCAACACGGCGCTGTTAAATGATATGGTCAGGTAAATCCTCTTCAAATAGTTAATTATTGCTCTATACCTTTCTCGGTTGCTTCTTTTTATATAAACATGCTTAGGAAACTTTGCTCCTTGACTCAGCATAGCCTGCTTCAGCTCCCTGATTCGATGGTTGCGCAGCATGGAGTCCAAGTGGTACAACTTTAGTGTGTTTCTGCGAAGGAGGTCTCTCTTCTGTTTGGCCTCCTCCGTTATTATTTGTTCTCGTAGAGCCATTCGTGCGTTTGCCTCTTCACAGGGCGACCCGCTCTCATTCCGCTTAGACTTCTTTTTCGTGTTCCCGGGAGAGCCCGCGCTGCGCTTTCGAGAGTTGTTCCCTTCAGTGGAGAGTGCTTCCTTTGGGGAGCCAAGTCTATGTTCTTCTCCTCCTCCTTCTTGTTGTCTATCCCGCGATAGGTGAAGACGATTAGAAGGCCTGCCGCAAAACGCATAAGAGTAGTAACTGGAGAAGCGTTTCACCTTGAGGAAGATCTCCCTCTTGAGCAACTCCATTAACTCCACACTGCGTTCCTTCTCGTCACAAAAAAAAAGGGAAATGATATAATTATTTATGAGCTCGTAGGATATTTTACGAGGCTTATTTGTGTGTTTGAAAAAGGTTCTCACTTCTTCCACTTCATTCAGCTCCTTGTTGTACTCCACCATCCCCTCGTGGTTGTACTTGGTTAGGAGCAGTTCACGTATTTTTATTTTCATGAGCTTCATGTCCAAATCGTTCTGAAACATGTAACAGTGCGCCTCGAGAACATCCATCAGGTGTTGCAGCATCCGTAGGACAACTTTCATGCTACTATCGTTTTGATTGCTCTTCATATATTTGGTTCGCACGGAAACGTGTACGCGTTTATCATTCTCGTCGCGCAGGTCTGTGTCGTTGCGCGTGTTCGGGTCACCCCGCTCAGTGGTATTCTCAACGGGATGGGAGGGTGGCTGGGCACCCAGTGTGGTCCGCCCCTGAGCAACTGCAACACCGCTGCCCTCACAAAGGAGGTTAAAATTTAAAAATAAATTTGCCGTGTGCAGGAAAAAAAAAACATACAATTTAACAAAGTAAGCATTTTTGCACTTTTGAAAAAAAAATAAAATATTCTTTTTAGCTTTACTATACTTCTTCAAGTGAATTAAACAAATGGTGTGATAATACTTGTTTACATGGCTGCCATATATTTGCATGCTCTTGTAATAATACTTGAGGGCCCTCCTGGTGTTTCTCACCATGTGATGATAATACATACCAATGAGGAAGTAGTACTTGGACAGGCATTTCTTATTAATATAATTAAAATGTATCTTGTCCTTCATAAGTTTTAACAATACAATACATTTTGTATCTCCTTGCATCAGCCATATTTCACACAGATCCAGGTACAGGTAAATCATCCTCTTACACAGATGCACATGCTCATGGTTCTTTTTCAGGTACCCATTCTCATTGTTTGTCATTTCAATCGATTCGTCATGTTCATATATGTCATTTTTGTCGAGGTGGTAAGAAGAATTTTTTTTCAACAGAAGGGTTTCTATTCCTTTAGAATATTTTCCTATGCCGTTTCTTAAATACTCGTAATAGCGTAGCAGCGTCAGGTTAATGATATCCTTAATGGGGATTTTTCGCAGATCGTTTTTGTCCCAGCCAGGGGGGGGAGCATCCACATGGGGGAATGGCTGCTCCGTCATGTGCAGCTGACCTGTATTGCCACCCCCCCAATGAATCCCTTCACTCACAAAATCGTTACACTGGGCGATTTTTCCTAGGTAGTTCATCAGGAGCAGCCACCCGTTGGTTAGGTACGCCTGGGGGTGTCCATCATGTTTCATCGCTGAGGTTAGACAGAATGAAGCCGTGCTCCACTCCTTCTTCTTCACATAACATATACCTATTATATATTTCACTATTGCCTTGACTCCTCTCAGGGTTGTTAGCAAGTTCTGTAACCTAATGCACTTGTAGAGGTGCTCTTCCCCACCTGCACGATCCCTTCCGTCAAGCGACCCAAACTTGTCTCCACGCATGTCAGTCCTATTGTCACTCGCCCCTTTATCACGACTCATAAATTTGGAGAGCCAGGTCGTGGCTCCCTTCTCCGTGTTGGAGGATTCTTCCTTCACAGCTTCTAACAAACCCCGATACGTGCAAACAAGGGTCTTTAAAAAATTCTCCAGGTTTATAACCCTTACAAGCACGTGCGAGGAAAACTCAATGCAGAGGTCTAACTTATATGCTAGACATAAGGAGAGGGACAAATAAATGGAGGCGACAAAATCGTACTTGTTCTTTTTTACCAGATGGGTTAATATTGATATGCCCTCCATTAAATAATTCAATGGATTAATGTATTCATTTTTTATTTTCTCCTCCGACGGTTGCATCTCATCATCGTCATCAACATCGTTGTTGCCGTCGCTGGGGGATGTCCTGGGTTTTAGGAAGTAGTTGGCGCCTCTCTTCCGGTCATACTTGTTCAGAAGGTACAGGTACATATTAACATTGTAAATTGCTTTACATAGGTGTGGGGACAAGTAATCGTAGCTCTCCCACCGAATCGACCCCTCTTTTCTGTTTGACCCACCACTTGTCACCTCGTTGGACATACCGCCATGCATGTCGACTTCCACCCCCCTCAGGAGAACGTCACTCCTCCTCTTGTCTATCGGATTGATTAAATTTTCTAATTTTATTTTTAACTCATCCTCCTTGTTCACATTCTTCACATTCATTATTTTCTCCAAGTGATATAGCAGGAGGAGTGTGTAAAAAGTTGATCCGTCTTTCGAGGGGTCCTTCTCCTCCGACTCCAACTTCCCCCCCCTGTCATCATTATTGGTGAGATAAAAAATTTCCCCCTCCTTCGTGAGGTCCAAAAAAAGCTTGTAGTAATTTTTCTTGTAGTAGACCAGACTGATTTCTATCCAACTATGTACATGCACTTGTTCATCCTTCAAAACGTTTTTTATGCGGCGGTAATTTTCATCATTTATGTCCTTTTCCTTAATGCCGATCGGTCGATTCTTTCCTTGCAGGTAAATCATTCTGGTGGGGGGTGACCGTTCAAGGGGTTCTTCACTAATCAGCCATTAAGAAAGGAGAGCGCGCACTTTCACAACAATGGGGCAGTTAAACAGTGATGGGGTTAACGGAGTTGTATGGCTAAGTAAAAACGAGTGGACTTTCTCCTACGTCGTATACACGTGGCGCGCACATAAGTCCGTTAACACCCCGCACGTGCGCATGGCACCCTGTAGCCGCGTCGCTTTTGTCGCTGTTTTATGGCCTGTGCGCGGTGGCGACGTGACAGGAAACAAGAGTTAGGCACGTATTTACGAGAAACAAATATGTAAAGGAAGCGTGGGCGACGTTGGTGGCCTTCCCTGCTCTGGGTTTTCACGCTTCCGCTAGTTGGTAGCCCGCTCCAACAACACTTTGTCATTGCGATCTATGTATGCCCCTGGTATCAGTTGCAGAAGTGGCAAAACATAAGGTAGCAAACGCAAAAAGCATGTCATCTGTTTAGGCCATTTATCATGGCCATGGAGAGTAGAACCAGAGGGCTGTTAAAGCACTGGAGAGAAAATTACTCGAGGGGATATTCACCCCAGGGGAAAATCACTCAACGGAAAATCTTCACGGAAAAATTATCCGATAGTGATCCATTTTAATTTGTTCCTCCTGTTATCCCTTCCTTTCCTGCCATATACTACTCTTTGTAAAAAAAAAAAAAAATTCTTCAAACAGGAGCTGTATGTTGCGTGTATGGCCCAGTTGCCTTGAACGCGCCGCATCAGCAACTGCACGGAGCGAGGTGACACAGCCATAAAGGGAAACGCACAAGGGAAAAAAAAAAAAAAAAAAAAAAAAAAATAGGCGCAAAAACGGGAAAAAGCATCAACGGAAGAAAGGAGCTCACACGAAAAGTTAGCAATCATCGGTCGAAACAAAAATGTGGAGAGGCGAAATGGAAAAATTTGCGCAAGGCTAATGATAAAAATAATTCCCCAAACTAAACACCCGTAATCATTGGTGGCCTCCCTTTTTTTGGACAAGGGATCTTAAAAAAAATGGTTCCCTACAATTCGTTGCAAAAACTCTTTGCCGTATAAAACAGTTGGCATATTCTAAAGCCATACGTATATGTGCAACTGATTTTTCGCCGGCCCCCATCTCTTCCATAATTGCTTATATTGAAAAGGAAAGAAATGAACGGAGTAACAGACGCGGCAAGGGTGACTGTTGTTAGCTTTGTGTGAGGAGGGGGAAACGCAGCTTGGTTACAAATGAAACACACGGTGTGGGAATAAAACAAAGGAAAAAAAAAAAAAAAATGCATCGCGATGGATACATGGACAAATGGGTCGGCAATTGCATACATATTACACATGTATGAATACCCATGCACGCGTCCACAAATATAATAAAAGGGAACAGTAACCTTAAGAAAATTCACCAGCAGCAATTTCCCAAGCTAAGCGAGGGAGACTCAAAGCACTGTACCCGTGACTCATCATATTTGTTGCTGCAACGGATGTGTGGAACAGAACGTGGAGGAGGATGGGTTCGTGTTGCTTACCTAGTGCTCTCGCCCCTCCCTGAGAGAGCTTGCCTCTAATTGTAAAATTTGCGAAACTTCATTTTGACCAAATCAGAGTAGAAAGTCTCCTTTTGGTTCCTACTCCACACATGTAAGTTTAAATTTTTTTTCATTTCCCGAATAAGGCTCTTTTTTTTGGTGTCGCTGGATTTTGTCGCAAGATCATCATTCCCATGTGTCGCTAAACCTCCTTCCTGTGGACACCCTGAAAATGATCTGACCCTTTCTAACAGATGTAAATACTTCATGTACAAATTAGCGGCATGGTCGAAGTCGATGTAAATAGCTTTCTTACGGACAAAGTCGGGATATAGACGAGTGTTTAAAATGATATCTTTATGTTTAAAGAATATATATGAGAGGTTTTTATTTTGTATTCTTTTTTTCTGCCTCACTTCTTCTCCCGGAGGAGGAGCACTCCCCTTCTTCCTCCTTATTACCATTTCAACAAAGCTCTGCAAAAGGCTCATACGGTGATTTACAAAACTAACATATGCCGTTTCGTAAAATTTATAAAAAGAATGATGGTTAACCCAGTGCACATTATTGTTAATGTCTTGAATTACTTCGTTGCATTTTTGGAAAGCACTTAAGTTTGCATTTCTCCTCCGTATATTCACTACGTTGTACTCACTGGGGTGACGACTCCTCCAGAAGTAGGTCCCATATAAGCAACTGCTACATGTGAAATGGTTTTTAGTTTTGTCCAGGTAAGGCCTGCTCATTATTTGTGTACTGCTCCAAAGGTGCTGTCTGTTTATGCTCTTAAAAGTGTGTGCATGTCGCCGCCTTACGTTTCTCACCTTTGCATTTTCAAGTATATTCATGAAGAGGTTATTTTCTAAAAATAATCCCAACGTGTGTGTGTAATCATATTCCTCTTTGGCTAGCACATGGTCAGAAAAAATAATGTTACTTACACCTTGCTTAATTTTATTGTATATATGTCCTTTCACATCCTCATCGGTATTCCTGCGATCGACCAAGTAGACGTTGTCCAGAATGTTCTTTTTTTCGTAGTCAGACAGACATTTCAGTTTTGGCAACAATATATACACAAAGTAGTGAAAGTAAAAGTAGCTAATTTGGCTAGTGGCAAAATGGATGACTAGGTTTTTTTTTTTCTTCTTTTTCCTACTCTCGCTTATTGTCCTCTTGTTCACGTAATGCGATTTTTCCCAGTTGTTACAAAAAGGGTCTCCCTTGACGGATCTTTTTTTAAAGAAGTTTTCCTTATTACGCAGGCTTAGGAGCACGTACGCGAATACGCGACTAAAGTGATGGCTGCCTTTCAGGTGTTCCTTGTAAATGGTTATCATGCTTGGGGGAACAAGGGGGGGCCACCTTAAACTGTTTAAATTGCTTCACATATTTTGGCTGCTCTTTTTGCTGCTTCCCCCCTCACTTCATACCGAAAGGTATGTTAACTTCAAGCGTAGCTACTCTGCTCTGCTTTGGGGGGCACGCACATTCCTTCTTCGCTTCTCCCAAATGCTTGTAGTTCCCCATTTTTCATATTTTTCCTTCAGCTAAAGTGGGCTTCCTCCTGTGCTAAGCGTTCCCCGTTCAGTTAAACACGCGGCAACGTCAAACAGGCGCGGGCAGCACTACTTCACAACCACAGAAGATGCATCAAATAATGATAACGAAAATAGTAACTACTAAAATGCAAAAATGTACAACTATGTATTTTTGTTTAAACCAAAAATGGAAAAAGCTAGCTGGAAAAAAAAAAAAAAAAAAAAAAATATGAACAGGCAAGATAAATCCTACATTAAAAAAAAAAAAATACATATACATATTTACATGTGCAAAAAAGCCCATTTGGAAAAAAAAAAAAAAAAAAAAAAAAACATGAACAGTTCATAAAATGAAAATTGGAAGCATTTTACCATTACACACATTTTGACATAATCTCACATAAAGATGAATGTAATGTATCCCACTTTTTGCAATCGCAGTTTGATACCATAGTTTATTACAAAATTTAGCTTTTACAACTTCTAGCGCTTCTTTTCCAATACACACATTGCGTGAAAAGGAAATGAGGCGAATTATGTTTGCAGGCAGCTTCAACCTTTTACTGTCCCTTTTTTTGTGTGCAAAAAATGCAGGGAGTTTAAAACACCCCCAAGCCACTCTCCTATTTTTACACAACACCTCTGACCTTTTCCAAAATGACACCCTCAGCGTGTTGCGAAACAAGACCAATATACAGAATAAAAAAAAAATTTCGCGCTTCAAAATACAATCGTCGGAGGAGAGCCAGCAGGATGGGGGGCTGCACTACGATTTAACCCCTGAAAATGTGGAAAAGGTTTTAAATTTAATTCGACCCAAGTTGCAAATAGATAACGGCGATGTCGAATTGGTAGACATAAAAAACAACGATTTGTATATTAAATTATTGGGGAACTGCGTCACCTGCAGCTCGAACAGCGTCACAGTGTCGCATGTTATCAAGAAGACACTAAAAATGTACATACGCAATGAAAAAGGTGAAGAGCCAAATGTGATCATCACCAATTTTGACGAAATAAATGAGGAAAATATATACGGCTGCTTGAGCGATCTGAAACCGTACTTTGATTTTCTGAGTAAGTGGCACAAGGGACGGGGGGAAGCCGTCTCCCCCTTGGTGTGTTGTGATTGGGGGGAGGTGGAGCTTTTCAAAGGATTAGGTGCTTTGCATTTCATCATATCAACTCCTTCACCCCTCAAAAGTGAAAAGTAAAGAACAGTGTATAACTGTAAAGTGTGCATCGTGCACGCACAAAGCATTACCCAAATAAACATTCCCCTTCTCCTCACCCCGCAGAGGTGAAGTTAGTAATCGCGGACCTCATGAAGAACAAGGAAAATATCAACAATACCGTGTCGTTGGTTTTTAAAAAGGTTGACCCGGGCGGAGGTAGCGACGCGGATGGGGAAACAGACGGAGAAGCAGACCCCTACGCGGAGCCAGTCAAAATACCCTTCAGCGTAAAGAGCGAGATAACGGAACGCCTGAAGCAAAAGTTCCCTACGCTCATTGTCAACTTTGATAATTAAATCGGCACCACCTCCTCTTTTGTCGCACAGCGTGCGCAGGTGCGTGTCGCGCCTGTCTAGGCGTTGTAGCAGACGTCAAGTTGGGTCGATTATCGTGTTTTTTTTTTTTTAGTATCCGTTGGGAAGCAGTAAAGGGGGAGAGTGCCACAAAAAAAAAAAAAAAAAAATAAATTAATAAATAAATGAAACAAAATAAAAGCACCGCAGCATGTGCCACAGCGGACACCGCAGTAATGCTGCAAATGCCTGGTGCAGACAAGGAGGACGCGGAAGGGCGCTACACCGTTATGTACTCAGGCGGCCAACTACGAAATTTAACCCGCTTATGCTTCAAGTGCAGCAAATCCGATTCGAAGTACTTCTCTTTGTAAAGCTCCCCCTGCTGCTGTTGTTGCTTCTCCCCACCATGCTCAGTTTGAAACACTTCCAAAACACGAACGAGTTGCGATTCCTTCTGTTCCTCTGTAAGTGTATCCCAAAAGCACTTGTGAATATTAACAACGTTAAAATTTAGCTTTTTAAAAATTCGATTTTTTAATGATATGGTTCCACTAACCAGTGGTCTGTTAAATCCAATGGGGTGGAAATAGTCATACTCGAGGCATAAATTTAAAGGCTTATAAAAATGGGAAGTGAAAAAGCAATGCTGCTCATCTATTTTCCTGCCAACAGATAAATTAATGAAGAAATTTTTTAATTGTAATTTTTGTATAATGTTTTCCATTTCGAGTTGCATTTTTTCTGACCCTTGATTCTGGGCAGTTATTAATATATTATCTAGCCATTTTAGATGCAAATACTCTTGAATGAAATATGGAACACTCTCCTTTATCATGCCTTCGTTGCTTGGCTTTTCAACATCACAGCAGTAGAGGGTCATATAGAGGTAATATTGGATCCACCCACTCTCTGCTACATTTTCCTTAGTTAATCCTTCACATGCATTCTTTAAAATTTCTGGTAAAAAAGTGTTAGACATTTTTCCCCTATTGTGATCCTTAAGAGGAAATTCATACATGTTGTTTAGGACAAGAACGTAAGCTAATAATGACCAACAGAAATTAGTCATGTCCCCTTTCCCTTCATCCCTCCTGTCATATATATTGTTGAGTATTTTTTCTATTAGGTTATAACTTCGAGAGAGACTATTGTGGGATCCAAATTGAACTTCCTGGTTTGTTAACCCTAGGTAAGACAAACAGAAGCTCATCATGCAAAGAGTTGGCACTCGGAATTTTTCCATATGACTTTCTATCATTTCTAATATTGTTGGTAGGAGATAATAGCACCTATAATCTAAGCAGGACATTGCGTATAATAACCTGGGGCAGTGTCTCGCTTTAATTCTTTCCTTCCTTTCAATCAAGTCATACACTAAAAATTTAAATAACTTCAGCTCGTGAATGGCTTCCTTATCCTTTACACTCCAAAAAGAGTTAAACCCAAACACGTTGGCTAGCTGGCAGAAACATCTCACTAGCCAATTGTAATTTGGATAATCCTCCTTCTCGATGTAGTCCTTGTACAGCCTGGTGGTGGGGGCGGGAGAAATGAGAAGGAGCGGTTGATATAAAAAACTTACATCTGTGTTTGCGACATTTTTTTATTTGTTGTGCACGTTGCGGGGGAAGAGCGTACATATGGTGGTACACTTATTATGAAACATTCAGGAGGGGGAGAAGCGTGAAGCAGGGCAGTCCTATCACCCCCCTCCCCCCACACCCGTCTTTCCTCAGACAGGAAAAAACTCACCGCAGTATCGACCGTGGGTTCGAGTAACACTTATCTAGCTTTTCAAAATACGAGGACACGAAATTTTCAGGGGGCACAAAGTCGAAGAGGTCGATTTTTTTTTTTTTCGTTTTTTCATAGTACTCCTTGGTTAGAAAGGAGTTCTTGATCACGGACTCCGTTGCTATTCCTTGTCTCCTCCGCCGCAACGGTCCGTTGCCCGCCTCGCGCAAGGAGCGACATGTGTTCAAAGGGCAAGCACTGCGCAACGTCCAAGCAGTGCTTATCGCTTTCTTCACCATTTCTTTAGTCATGTTGGGCTGATTCTATCCTAACAGGGGCACAGTCCTCGTGCAGCTTTATACACCCAAACGGGCCCTACTTATGTGTGTGGCTGTTAACTCTGACGCAGGGAGCTGCTACGTTAATGTAGCATGTAACCGTATTGGTAGCACACCCTGGGCCATTTTTCCTCGCTCGTCCCTGGTGCCACACAAAAGGCCTACCCTTTTGAAAAGCTCAACTAATTGGCGGTAGCCGTGACGGGAACGTATAGCCTAATATAGAGTTAGAGTGCCAACATGTGTATGAAGAGAGGGAAAAAAAAAAAAAAAAAAAAAAAAAACTAACCAAGTAGAAGGGTGGACGGATGGAAAACACAAAAATGGAGAGCCCCTAACAAACTTTCATAAAAAATGTAAACACTCGCTTACACCGCGGAATATTATTTATAATTTTTTTTTTTTTCTCTATCGCAGAATGGGAGCTTCGAGTTGCGCGCTGCTGGGTCTCCCTCGAAGTGCATAACCCCAATTGGTACTGCCGCTGCACGCGTTGTGCGCATGGGAGGCTGCCCAAGTGGGTGCTTTTCCACCAATTTTGCCGCTTCTCCGTTTTGCCACTCGGCCATTGGTTCCTCCTTAGATTAACTTTCCTTGCGCAAGAATTATTTTAATTCAGACGCTGAGCGTGCAACGCGCGATTATTTTTCGTTACGTACCACGTTCCTTTTTGCTACCTTCAAGTTGCTACCTTTTTTTTGCTACTTCCACTTTTGGGAGATGAAAACACAGCGGCGATGGATCCTACCGGCTGACTTCTTTTCCCATTTTCATAACATTTCTTTTTTTTTTTTTTTTTCCTTTATGCCCATATTTTTAATCCGCACAAATGTGACTTTTTTTTTTTTTTTTTTTTTTTTTTTGGAAAATATATGAACCCGTATTTTTTTTTTTATCTGTAGAGTAACAGATTTCGTTTCTTTTTTAAATTCTTTTCATTAACATTTGTTACATGTTTTATGAGTTGCTGCAAAATGCTTTTCTCATCTGATTGCTGTTTTTGTTTGTTGGAAGGTAGGCACCAAGTTTTGGTCTGACGCGGCACTGGCTCCGTCCTGCCTCAGCAGAGGGCCAGGCGGACAGTTCGAGGGGCCATCCGAGGCATATTATAACATGCTACAGACCTCCCTCAGGCGTACAGTTATACATTTTACAACCTCTCCTCGCCGTCTCCCTGTTTAGTGAATCCCCAGTGGTTCCAACACCACCTGGCCACGTAACATAAGCATATAGTTATAATTGGTGCCACCCACCGCCCCCCTTTTGTATTTTCCCCCCTTGACGGCGAAAGAGTAGAAACAATGGAGGTCCAAACGGCGAACAAGAAAGGGGAGTACATAGACCATTTGCTTGGGGAGTTTGTTTACAACAGGGGGAAGCTAAAGAGGAAGGACATAATGAATAGAATGGAATACTACATAGGAATATTAACAAATATAAATTTGAAAATTGTTCACAATAAGAATTATCAAGTGGTGCATCTAGTTTTGGAGGTTCTGTTGACAAATGAGGTGCATGTAGAACCCATGATTTTGGACAAGATTTTGGCTTGCTTGAACTTGAAGCAGATTCTGCAGAAAAATGACAAAGTGAAAATTAAAAATGTTAGTAACATGTTGCTCCTAATTAATCGAAAGAGCAAGAACAACCTGAACGCAACTAATTTGTTTAATCTGCTCTTCGAGGCCGTCGCCCTGCTGCTGGAGGCCTTTTGTGAAGAGGACATTTACAGCGTCGCCCGCCGGGTGGATTATACGCTCGGAGGGGGGGACCAGCAGCAGCAACAGCAGGAACAGCGGCAGCAGGATGACGACGACGACGATGACGACGACGACGATGAAGAGGACGACGATGAAGAAGAGGAGGCCGATTACGAGGACGAGACAGACGACACAATTGACGAACCTCTCACCACCCCGCAGCAAACCCGAAAGCGCAAACGCGCAAACGGGCTTCGAACCTCCACAACAGGCGAATCCAGCCAATCGAGCAGTGAACCCAATGATAGTGACACCTCCAATCATGCGACGCATTCCCTGAAGAAGCTAAAAAAAGAGGACGGGTCTGAGTGCTGGACTCAGTTCCCCACTAACAAGTACCACAACGTAGCGCGCATAAACGATTACGTGGTGTACATCAACAGTCTGTTCAACCTCTACTTCAAGAATTACAAACCCATGTTGAACGATGTTAAGATATACGCATTTTATTGTAACCTATTCGGGTTGTTTGCCTACGTGTATGATTACATAGGGTACGTGGAAGAATTAGCACAGAGGTGTCACACGAATGAAGAGGAAGAGAGTTTTACTAGCAGCTTCGAATCGGTCGTGAAAAATCTGTCCACTCTGAAGGGTCTTATTAAGAAACAGATTATAATAAGTGTAGAAAACCTAAGCAAAGGATATTTTAAAAGTGTGTATACATCCTACATGGAAAGCAAAGAAGAGTTAAAAGTGAATTACTCATTTTTCCTGTTCAAGGAAAATGAAAAAATGTTAGAAATTATGTACATAATAATAAATAATGTGTCAAATGAAAACCCGAGCTTCCGATTCGATCCTCATGGAGGAGACAAGTTGATCTGCCCCTCTGCCAATCTTCATAAAAGTAAAAGAGATAAACTTATTTACTTCTTTAAGGATAATTATCATTGTAATGAAAAGCATCCCTTTTTAGGGGTTCATAAAATTAGAGGGTGTTTGAAAGCGTTGGCTACTATAATGAAATGTGTCTTTATAAAACACCCCAGTGCGAACTTGGCACATGTACAGACTTACTTTACCCTTTTTTTATTAATACCTCATTTTGAATTAACCATGTATGGTAAGAACGTTAAAAGGGAGTACGCTAAACTGTTTACCTTTTCTACCACCACAAAAGAGAATAATTTATCTCGTGTTAATTGCTCCATGCAAGACTCAGACGCAGAGACACCAATTGATGTGAAGTGTTCTGGTGAATCAAAACTGACGATTCATAAAAATGCCGCTGCCTACTTCAAATCTGTACACATTAAAATCGCACATTCAGTGTGTCGCTTTGAAGAAGAACTCAACCTCAATGATGATCAACAGACCCACAACAATGTATACATTCTAATAGATTACTCAAAATTAATTTATAAATTTTTGAATTACCTAAATGGAAAAAGGAATATAACAAAAGACACATTTCTCTTTGTTAATATGACCTACTTTATAAAGTACATATTTGACTGCTTAACGAATGCTTATTTTGAATTAATGAGGACAAAAACGAAGAGTGCTTTGAGGGAGTGCATTGCGGAAGGACCATATTCTTCTTCTCTTCTTCACCCCTCACAGAGCTTCCTACGAGAAAGAATGTACATCCGTGGAAAACCCCACCTGTTACTGTACGATGAGACATTTAAGAATATATTTTCTACCTACCCCCGTGGAAAAATTCCCCACTCAGATATGAACACATTAGAACAAGGCGACAGGGAAAGTGATGGTGCAGAATTACGAGTCGATGTGTATGTCGATGTGGAAGTCCCAATTCGCCTGCTTCTCCTACTAGAGCCAAACAGAAAAAAAAAAAAAAAAAAAAATTAATGATTTATTTAAACTACCTAATATACGTTAACCAAATGAACCTCATGACAGTAATCCATTTTGACGTCACCCTCAGGACTTTGGTATTCTCCACGTTATTCAATTTCGCAAAGGGGGTCAGCCACCAGCACGGCCACAGCCACACGGGTAATTTGAACATTCTCAGTGGTTATGAAGCTACGTCTCGTCAAGCTACATCCCGTCACGCCCACGCCTTCCCCAGCCACATCCTCACCACGGTGATGACAAAGTACGTGCACATATTTGGGGTGAAGGGGCTGTTTAAATTTCTTCACTACTACATCGTGGGAAATGTGAATGCACCACAGGACCAGCCCATGAGGAGCATTTATTTTTTGTTGAACTGCGTTGTAATGGACGTGTTTAAAAGGAGTGTGAGTAAGTGGGTTGACCAGGCCTCCACCATCTTAGGGTACTTCATCGAGGTGTACACTTACCATGTGTGCAAGCTTGGCGAAGCGTTAGAAGCTATATTACACTTAAGAGGGGAAGGGAGTGGTGGGGCGGATGGCCGTAACATTGTGCTTAGCACTTGTCAACCCCAACACGTGGAGAACTCCTTTTCCAGGTGCAACCCCGTGGTCAGCTACCCACTGATTGTTCAAAACGTAGAAGCGTTAGAATACATCTTGTGCTGTTTCTTAAAAGCAATTCCAAAGAAGAACATAACCCAAGGGTTACTGCCTCACATGAAAGAAATTGCATGTGTACATTTGACCAAGCTGAAGAATGAAGTGATTTTTAATGAAAAATTAGCGAAAGGCAATGTGGACAATACGAAGTTTGCGCACGCCTCCTGCAAATTTTATGTACTTTATTTTTTCAACTATAGTTTATCTCGAGTGGCTATGTATTCCCTGCTCCATATGGAAATACAAAACGACCAGCTGCTTTGTCATGCTTCCATTCAGCACATGGTTGCCATGCTACAGACTTCTTTCCCCACCATTGAACCCATGTATGAAGTCTGTATTAAGGAGGACTCCTTGCATACCTTCTTCGCCATCCTGCAGTTGATTCTTCAGACTCTTTTTTTCTTCGTCTCCCTGGCGGAGCTGCGCGTCATAGGTGAGCACGCGCGGTGCGCCATGTCTACGTGGCTCATGCTGTTCACGCTGCGCATGCTATTCACGCTGCGCACGCCGCGCACCACTATACGATGTTTACATTCACCCCACCCACACCCTCCACGCAGACCTGGACCGCCTGGCCGAGCACCTCAATCAAGTACTCCGCGTTCTGAAGAAAAACGCCCTGGCGGAGTACCCCTACCCAGTGAAAAAAAAAATTTGCAGGCAGATCGCCAAATTCTTCATTTACAACCACGCATTTCTAGTGGCCACCTTCAGAGGAAGAGAACAAACCATAGAAGCCATATACCAAGAGTTCACAAAATTACTCTTCGTTGACATTGCTATACTGAAGAATGAACAGAATTACGAATTCCTGTTCGATTATTTTTTCATTATAAGGGAAAATAAAATGGCTTGTGAGTTATTGAAGGAGTTGTTTTCGTTACACTTCATTTTGATTTTGGGTAATATGGAAAAGGGTTCGTTTGAGGCCAAGTTGCAAGGAAGAGGGAACGGTGCGCATGACGAATGGGACATGCGTCCAGGAGAGGAAGCCTTTTTGTCTAGCCGCGCACGTGCACTGGTTAGAAGGAACAGAACCCTCTCAAGTGAAAACCACAAGTGGTATGAAATGCTCAACGTGAAAAGGAAATTAGGATCCATAAATGGGAGCAACGCGTGTAGAGGCCCATTCCACCAATTTGAAGAAAGCAAAATGATGAGTGTCTTCTCTGGTAGAAGGAAAAATAACCAGCTGGTTGTGTCCCGACTTAGAAGTAAATTCAACAGGGAGGACGCGGACACCCCAAATGTGGATGTGTGCATTTTAAGTAACATCTTTCCCTTCTTCAATGGAATAGACAAAGTACAAGACAATCTGTACATTCTCTTGTGCAAAATTTGTAGCAGCTTCTCCAACTACAATATATACTCTGAGCATATATTGATTAACATTTTAATATCCTTTTGTGAAAACCTCGGTGGGAAGGACAGCCCGAAGCTGCGTCTCAGTGACTTGTTCCATTTTCTAAAGTTATCCTTCCAACTGATTCAGAAGCAGAAGGAGTACTGGACCTGTGGCGCCTTTAAAACAAACAAAAACGTCCTTGTCTTGAAGCTCCTCTTCCACATCTTCTTCCTCTACATCAACCAGTGGGCTGCCGACGCGACCTCAAAGGGGGGTATCAACAAGAATGAGCAAGGGGAAGATACCGCCACAGACATGCAAAAAATTGCGATTGAGTCATCCCCAGGACGTAGGAGGAAGAAAAAACCAGGAGCATCTTCCTCGCAGGGGAAGGCCAGAAAGGTAAAAATCTGCTTCGTCTTTTTTATTAAGTACTTTCTGCTCATGTATGAATTGGTCATGTCCAGGGGGGAACAGGAAGAAGAAGGAGCCACCGCGACCCTAACCGAGGACCACGTGGCGTACTTGACGAGTCATATACGTGGGGGGGGCAGTCGAGGAGTTAGCAGTGAGGAAGTGCACACTGGGCTGACGCATGGAGAAGGAACGAACGACATATGCACGATGCTGAGTAAACTGAAACATTTCATTCAAACACTTTTAAGCAGCGGAGGCGATGCTACTAGTTGTGACCGAACGAATGGCATCACTAATGCAGGAAGCCACGCGGCTACTACCCCCCGCATGAACGCACTCTTCCTTGATATGATCGAACATGTGTTTGTGTCCTTCCTGCTGAGGCACAACTTCTGGGAGGAGTCCAGCAGCGCAGCAGTCATACAGGTGGTGGATGCGCTCAGGGGACTTCAAGTGGAGCAGGTGCTCAGCACAGCCAATGAAAAGTACTCGACCTTTGCCTATAGCATCCTCGCGTTGAAGATTTTTAACGTGGCTAATAAAAGTGGTGCAAGAAATACTTCCATTCGCATCAGTGCTGATGGGGGGAAGCATGAGGTGAAGGATGAGGAGGGGGAGAAGTTAATGGGGGTGACCCCCGCGGAAAAACAAAAGAAGAAACGAAGAAAAAGTTCCAGGAGGAAAGATGACATGGCTATGGATGAAGAAAGTCTGCTTCTCTTTTTTAAACTCTTCCTACCACCTAATCAGCGCAACGACATACATTATAACAACAGCGAGTCAAGTACCCCATGGCAGGGAGGAGTAAAACCCACTTCCCTCCAACTGTACGATTTTCTGTATCATTACAATAGGGTATTGGTGCAGTGTCCAGATGAGCACTCGGTCCATATTTGTATAAAGTTTCAGCACGTGATTAAAAACATTTGTACCTTGTTCAGCTACTCCTCCGATGACGTAAAGAATGTTTTGACGTACGTTCAAGAAAAGGTACAGACAGGGTACTCAGGAGCTGAAGCAGAAAATTGCCTGTACCATTTTAACATGCACATTATAACATTAATTTTTGTCATTTCGCACAATAAAGAATTTTGCTCAGACATAATTCTTCAGAGTAGGAGACCAACGGACTCTTCTTCCTTCATCAGTTTGTATCTCCTTCTCATGCGGCATGTGCAGAAATACTTGGACGACAATGAGGTGGTCATGAAGAGAAGCTCCTCCGTCCTCTTCTTACTCATTCACCTCATCTACAAGCTGTCGCAGCTGTTTGTGTTTTTCTTCGTGCGCCTCAAGGCGCAAACGCGGGGTGAGTGCAAGTACCTTTATCGTTGCGTGGGAACACGTTTTGTACGCGCCTTATGTGTGTTTGCGAACGATCTGCGCAGCATAACCTTCATTGACCCCCACCCCACACAAACGTAACGTCACTCGTTGCCCATCTCTCCCCATGCAGACGGAAGCTACTCCAACCTCCTGGGATTCGTAAGCAACTACTGCAGTTTGCTGATCAAAGCGATGGACTTACTGTAAGGCGACAGCTGTTTGCGAATTGTGTGGTGCTCGAATTGTGTGCTGCTTCGCGTGTGCAGACACACGTTTGTACATTACAGTTGTGACGTATGTCACATACACTCCACCGCCTTCTTCCCACTCACCAGGAAAAATCGCATACGAAGCAGCAACGACGGTGCTGTGCCAAGCCCGGGAAAAGATTTCATAACGCATTTTTACATCCTAAATAACTGTGGCCTGTTCGAGCGAAAGAAGTTTTACCTGTACCTGCTCAGCCATCAGCTCTTCGTGCTGTTATACGAGTTCTTCAATATACGTAAGGGGAACGAACTGCCGCTTTGAAGCTCGCTCACCGAGTTACACACGGCCAAAAAAAAAAAAAAAAACCGACCACACTTCATCCAATGCGTGTACATATAAAAACGTGAGTGTACGTACACACTAAAGTTGACACCCCACCGATCTGCCCCCCCCTTTGCAGAGAAAAACGAACTTGTGGTGAAGTCTAAAAGAACGCTAATAGAAGTGGCCAAGAAGGGAGGATACGCCATCAACTTTTTCTGTTCCTACCTGGACTCCATTTTGTACCTCGACAGCAGGTAAGAAATATTTTATATGGACAAGTGCCTTTCCGTTTCCGTCCGTGTGCAAAACAGCGTTGTACATGCGATTGGTTGGCTTTCACTTCTACTGGTTTGTCGTCATTCCATGCTCCTGTGCTGCGCGATCGCTTCTCCTAACGGATCGCTTCTCATCACCGATCACTTCTCCTCCCCCCCGCGCAGAATGAACAAACTGCTCCTCAGGAACGCCAACTTCCTCGTCACCTTCCTACGAAGCAACAAGGGCAGCCTCAACTTGCCCCCAATAGCTTTCCCCATTGTAATAAAAATTGTGGACATGTATGAATTCATTTCGAAGACGAATTCCATGGGAGAGGACGAATACGAAGAGAAAAAATTTCTCAAAGGCATTTTTCAGATCACCTTGTCCCTACTAGAAAATAGCTCCATTCAGTTTTGTTACACATCTCTAACAGATCGGAAGAGGGAAATCTTTAACGCCCTATCCGGGTAGCTTTACGTGACTGCCATTGCATGCTTTCCGTAAAAATAAAATGCTGCCTGACCTGTTCATAAAAAAAAAAAAAAAAAAAAAAAAAATTTTTTTATGTGTGCATGGTGCCCATTTGGTGCCGGCTGCTCATTATTCTCAAAATGATTGAATTGTGCATCCATTTCGCACTATTCAGGTTTTCACGCTTTTTTTGCGTTTGCTTTAACTGAATAAACATCCACGGGCATCTCCGCTCGCCCGAAGCTGCCTGCAAAGGAGAGGAGAAAAAGGCATATGTGTGTAATTACATCCCTTGGCTCACGTAGCTGGGAACGTCCTCCAATAAGCAACACCATTTTTAGCAAAATGAAAAAAAAGGCAAGGGGGAGGGTGAATGTCGGACAATGTTTTCCTGCCCTTTCCAATTGTCCTTACAAGTAGCACTGCATTCTCAAGTAACACGTTTGCGCGGTAATCGAAAAAGACAATGTGCCCAATGATAAGGTCAAAGTTGTTGTTGTCACCCCTCTGGCTTTTTACAAAAATTTCAACTGCAGATTTTTGTTCATATAGCTGTGCCAATTGTGTGTGCATTATGTTACTCCCCTTGATTTTTCCTGACAAATGGGAAAGCGTAAAATTGGGGGAAGGAAAAGGGACATCCAAATGTGTGCATGTAAGAAAAGGGGAGAGAAAGAGGAAGGGAAATCCCCATATGCAGGCTGACAGGAGAACAAAACTGCTGTGCCAAACTAACCGGTGTATTTCCTGACAAAGTGGTCTACCTTATACTCAGCGATTTTCTTCCTCACATTCAGTTCCCGTAAAATGTCTGCAAAATTGTGCAAAGGCGGCGATTTATTTGCCTGACCCGGACAGGTAAACAAAAAGTAGAAGCATATGCAAAAGTGCAATACGTGTTCATGCAAAAAGGTTTTTTTTTATAAATGTTGAGCAAGATGAAAACGGAGAGTAGTACTTTTCTTCTTCGCATTTTTTTGGAGTCCATTTTTCGATGCACACATGTCCGTGTTATTCGTTTTGGGCTGAACACAGTAAGGTAAATGATACTTGACATAACTAACATTATTGAGCTTTTGGTAATTGTCCCTCATGTACAAAATAATGTGTGTCTGTTTGTGAAGTAGATTTGCTTCGTACTTGCTAAGACCTTCCCTTCTTTTGTGTGTAGAAAGAACATCGTGGTTAACTTCGCTCAGCAGGTGTTTCCTGTCGTTGTAATTCCTTTGCAGTTCCTCCAGGATGCTGGCCATGTTGAATTCTTCGCTGAACAAGTTCATTTTGCGGAGCACCTCCTCACTCATAATGTCTTTGGTGTGCATCCCCCCCGTGGACAATACCTTGTCCACCCCTACCACGCCGTACCCTACTCGGCCTCTCTTTCCATCCCCGCAATTCATCTCTACTCCACGTGAAAAAAAAAACAAGTGGTAATTTTGTCCCTCATATGATGGCCAACGTCCTAATTACCCCCGTTTAGCCTTTTCCCGCGGGAAGCGTGCACCGAAAAAGAGCATTGTAAAAAAAAAAAAAAACCAAAGCTAGTTGCAACATTGAAAGGTGTTTTTTTTTTCAAGCATGAAAAAAATTGGCCCAACGGTGGGGGGGATAGGCATACAAATGTGTTACCATTCAATCTGCGCTTAAGTTCAAAAAAAAAAAAAAAAAAAAAAAAGCGCAACAATGCGCACACATTAAGGGAGTGACAGGTTGACAAGCATCACATACCACGCGATGCTATTGAGAATTAAATGGCGAACGTGTGGAAAGCCGAACAAACGTGTGATGAAGGAACGGAAAGGTGATGTGAAATTACAAATGATTGGACACCGACCACTTTCCTTTGTAATTTCTCCCTTTTTTTTTTTTTTTTTTTTTTTTGAATAATTTCCTACCTTGCGAAAGAGTGACTGTTATTCATTCAGGGAGCATTATTTCTCCTTTTATCACCCCACCCCTGTGAGCATGCCAAATGTGTTCACCCCCATTTAGTACATTTAAGCACATACACAAAAAATATGAGTAGTGCTTTTGTGGAGCCCTAGGTTTGACTTTGCCTCTACATTTCTCACTCACTTTTATGTCGCCCAAAAAAAAAAAAAAAAAAAAAAAAAAAAAAAAAAAAAAAAAAAAA